TTTTTTTATATAAGGCTAATATATGCATAACTATTAAAAAAATTTACAATTTTATAAAAATTTTAGACTTTCAAAATAAAATAATAAAATCGGGGGGGAAAAAAATATAATAAAAAAATTTAGAAAAACGGAATAAAAAAAAAATTTGTTTTTTAATTTGCCTTGACTAATATAATAACTAACTTTATAAATTATAAAAAATAAAAAGAAATATTTTTTTTTTTAAATATAAAAATTATTGAAAAATTAATTAATTTTTTTTTTTTCAGAAAACGAATTTTTTTTAAATGTCAAAATATCAACAATGGTTTTAAAAATTAAAGATTGAGGTGAGGTGATTTCATTATTTTTCACCTTTTATACAATATAGTATACGATAGTACTATTATGAGTGAAATACTTAATGAGGTGTGGTTGTGGTGATATTTTATGAATAATATGTTTTTGAAAAATTATATTAAAAAATTTTGAAATATATTTTTTTTTCCATTATTTAATGAAATAATATTTATATTTTTAATAAAATGACATACACCTAGCTACTAAATATACCTTAAATACTACTACTACACCTTCTACTATTGTTGTATCTCTATATATTAAAAAATTATAGGTTATGTGTTTTTATTGTTATTATGCATATTATAATTTTTTTTTGTATGTATAATTCAAAATAATATTTAAAGAAAGAGAACAATAGCTACTCGTTTTGTTTTTAGAATAAAATCCGCAAGACAAAAAAAAAAATTAAGAAGCCAAAGAAAAAAATTATTAAATTAAAATATGAAAAGAAAGATTATTGAAATGAATGAATTTCAAAAACCAGAAGAAGAAATACAAATCAATAAATAGATGATAAAGTATGATAATAATAATAAATAGATCGAAAGATAGGTAAAAAAAAAAACTTAATAATATTTATGAATATATATTTTTTGATTAATAATTAATTAATATTTTATTTTATATTTTTTTTTGCAAAAACAAAATTATTTGAACACAAATTACGGAATATTAAAAGATTATGATGTGATCATCAAGTTAATAAAAATCTTTTGAATTTCATTAGCGATCAACAACAATTTTACATATACATATTTTTTTTTTTTAACTGATTGTGTCATTAAATCAGCATTTTTGCGATTATCTTTCTTTCTTTTTAAAATAAATGTCAAAATATTAGATATTTTCTTCCGTCTAATAATATTCTTTTCAAGTGATTATATTAGAGAAATTAAAGTTTAACCAAAATTAATACTGTTCATACATTATAGAAGGGGCCTATATTATAGAAGAGAGAAATAGACAAGAGTCGACCATTGGTACAATTTTCCGGGCCTATCTCACTCCAAAAAATTTATATCACACGTGCGGCCGAAGGATCGGGAACAGGCCATACTCGGTCGTCCATATTTGAGGCCATATTTGAGGCGGAAAACGAGGTTTGCCGTCTCTACGTGGAGGGTAACGAAGCGATGGAGCATTTATTGTGTGAATGCGAGGCGATAACTCGTTTACAACTAAGATGATATGGAAGGAGCTTTGTTATCCTGATGAAGGTCTCGCGACTTGAAGTGATTTCTATATTGCAATTATGTCAGGAGCCTAGATATAGTGCTAATGTAGGTGGGGATGGGAATACTTTATTCTTATAAATATTTTTTTAATTTCAAAATAAAATAAAATAAAATGAAGTTGAATTAATTAAACATTTAAATCTTTTTAAATGAATAGATTTCGTGGTATGTATAGTTGTATTCACAAAAACCGAAATTTCATATGAAAATGAGACCAGGCCTGATATATAGAAAAACAGAGTCTAGTTTAACCTATGAGATTTCCTAAACTCGTTTTCGTATAGTAGATGCATTCAATATTTGAAACATTCAACATTATGACGTCTAATACGTCACAAATTTGTAAACGTAACAGTAAAATATTATTTTGTGTTAAGCATTTAAAGTGCACATTCACAATGTTCTTAACAGATAAAAATTACGATGATCAATGGTCCATTTATTATTTTCTATCACATTTTTATAAAATTACATTGAATTTATGCAAAAAAATTACTTGAACTTATTCGCGTATTTAATTACTTTCTAAAATTTATTTAAAAAAAAAAAAAAACAAATCTTTAGCGACAATTTATTGAACTTAAAAGCATAATTGCAAAAAAAAATTTTTTGGTCACAAGTGTTTTTACCTTGAAACAATTTCTTCCAATTGCGCTTTTAATTTTTTACTTTATATCCAAATGATTTAAGTTCATCTCAAAATAAATGGAATGAAGAAATTGCCCAACTCATTATTTCTTTTTTTTTTAATATCCTTGGATAAATCATTGTAAAACTTTATTTTTTACTTTATTACTTTTCTGTAATGTACTGATTTCTTTTCGCAATTCTTATATACAAAACCCACGATAAACTTGTAATTTTGAAAGCAAAACAATTATAAAACTTTTCAAATTTTGCAAAAATTAACAAAAATCCAATTCAATCCAAAATAATTAACAGCTATTGTTGAAATTTTAATTATCATTATTCAATTTTTGTCCATATCCATAAACTTTCTAAACTTTAATATTCAATCTTTTCAATCAATAATATTATATTTCATAAATCAATTATTTATTCAAAAGATATTTTGTTTTGGCCAAAAAATTTCTAGTTTAACTCATAAAAATTATGTAAAAAAGAAGAAGAAGAAATCGAAAAAAAAACAAAAAAGAAACAATAAAGAAATGATGAAAACAAAAAAAAAAATTAATTTGCAATTTAATAATCATATTATTACTATTTATTATCATTATCAACATCATCACAATCACCATGGTATCGTACAGTTATTTTTAATAACTTTATTTGTTTTCTATTAACCATTTTGTTTTTTCAATTTCTATTCGATTTCTTACTGTTTATTGAGAGATGTTAAAAGAGTGATAATTATACCGACAAAGGTGTATAATGATTAACCTTGCTGCTGGTTGAAAATCTTGTACAAAAAATTTCAAGTGATGGCACTAAAAGATGACCTAATAATGAAATTCTATAATATTATAATTATGAGAAAACATGAAAATACATATATATATACATATATACACAATACTACATATACGCATACATATATGTGTAATAATTTTTAAAATTTTTTCCACTCAAAATATTTAAGTGTGTGTATTAGAAATTCAAACAAGGAATAAATTAATTTGTTGTACTATTAATTTAGTGAATTTTTAATTTTAAAATAAGAAAAAAAAAAAAAAAAAAATTATAAAAAATTATTAAAAATAATGATAAATTTCACGTTCAGAATATAGAATGCCATAATAATGTTTAAAATAATATTATTCACATATAAGCTAATTAAGTTGTGGGTTGAAATTAATAACATTAAAATTCTGATAATGGAATTTTTTACAAATTTTTATTAATTACATTTTGGCCCAATTTGGTATACAAACAACTAAAAATAACCACAATGTTTATATGAAAGTAATTCAAAGAAAAAAAAACATTGATTTTTTAAAATTTGACTCGAATAACTTCAAAATTTTTAAAATAATTTCACACTAAATTATTATTATTGTCCACATTTCCGAATATAACTGCTTCCCTATACATGATACCTTTTTATCCTTAAATTAAAATAAAATATTTGTTGATGAAGTGATGATAATTTATTATGATTATTTAAATTATTTAAATAAGATTTCATAAATTTATGAATAATATTTTAGTGTGAATTAACATTTTCTAGAAAATCGGAGTTTAGATACAAAAAAAATCCAAAATGTTTTAAATTACTAAATTTTACTCGTATCCCTTTCATCAAAATAATAAAAAAATAAAACTATTATTTTTTTCAAATATCGAATTTTTCTTTTAACTGTTCTTTAAAGCTCAATTCAGTCGATTCCGTTTAATACCATTTATTCCGCTCAATTCAGTCAATTCCGTTCAATACCATCTATTCCGCTCCTTGTTTTTTTTTTTTAATTTGTACACAAACCACTTTGTAGTATTAATAAATAAACAAAATATGACGCCATCTATTGACTAAAAGATAAAGCTACCACATATCGAAATTTTTCCAATAGGTACCATCTTAATCGTATTATATAAATAAATATAATTTTCATTACGAAGTTCAGAGCATAAACTTTAATATACATATACATACACATGTACAAAAAAAATTAATAAACGTATATATATGTAGTACAAATTACAATATACAAAAATTTGTCATATATGTTTTTAAAATACGTGTACGTATTTTAAAAAAAGAATGAAGTTTATTCGATCTCCAAGATATCAGATGTTCTTGGTATATTAAATTTCTCCTAAATTCAAAATATTTTAGGTTATGTCATCGCACATAATCTAAAACCTTTAAGCTAGAAATAGAAAACTTTTTCAAAAAACTTTCTTAAAACAAAATGTAAATAGAAAACGATAAATGGAACAAAATTTTTCAAATGAAAATGAAAATTCACCATTGCATATTACACCCTTCTTGGATAAGTTATGTACGTATGCTGCCAGCATGAAATTGAATGACCTTTGATCATTGTTTTTTTAACACTGCATATACATTTCAATATTTCCAAATTTTTGATTATTTATACTGTTCAATAATTCATTGGGAAAATTCCTACAAAATTACATATTTACTTATTTTTAATTTTCAATTTACTTTAATACGAAAACAAATCAATAAAAAATTTCATTTTTCAAATGAATAATATGAAGATTGTGAATTGTAAAACATGTTGAATAATTGACAACAGATTTTAAAAGCTCAAAGTAGCAACGAATAATGACATTCTGAAAAATGCCAAAATGACTTTTCAAATAAACATACTGACATTCACATATATGTAAATATATTTGATTTTCGTCGACATCGGTGACGGTATTTTTCTTTCCTTTTCGTTTTCGTATTTATTTACTTTACTTTGAATTGAATCGTCATAGGAAGCGCATGTCTTTATATAAAAAAAAAAGTTAAAAATTAAACCAATTAAAAAAGGAATTTTCATTTTTTTTTTTGCAAGAAAAAAAAATCCAGTTTTTTAAATTTATTTAAAACAATAAAAAAAAAAGAGTTAAAATTGAAAATTTTAGATTTTGAAATTTTATATTTGAAATAAAAAAATAAATGAGTGCCTTTATTTTAAGTTATTGATGATTAAATTTTAGAGAAAGATTGCAATAATTGAAAAAGAAGTTTGTAAAAAAGCTAAAAAAAAAAAAAAAAACTATTTTTCTCCTTTTATTTTTTTTTTTTTGTTGTGATATTTCTAGAATGAAAAGTTTTTGCAAAAGAGCAATAATATTGAATTAAATTAAATGTCCATAATAAACAGTTTGAAATGTTTGTGATAATGACTAACTTTTGGATTTAATATTTTTGAAAATATACAAAATTAAAATTTCTCAAATCTTAATTTTAAAAAGTATTGCACAAGTATTCAAGATGACTATTAAACATTGTAAAATTCTTTAATATTTTCTTTTTGTTGAAAGTGGGGTAGTGAAATTTTCTTTGAATATTGTATACCTACATATACATATACTCTCAATATAAATTGTGTTCTAGTGTGTCCACTTAGTAATAAATAAGTTTAATTTACTTATTTCATTTTTTTTTTAACGGGTGGCACCTGCCTAAATGGCAAGTTCTTTAAACAAAACTAGGCATAGACAGAGATTGGCTGCAATCTCTTTTCTTTCGAATGTAAGTATAAAATAATTTTTTAAATTATTCATTCATTCAGAAAATAAAAAACTATATATATATTATTCCTCTACGGAAAAAATATAATTTCCTCCATAGAACCGGTTCATATTTAATAATTGTGTGTATGAAATTTGTTTTGAGTTTTTATTAATTTCTATATATGTACAATATATATATATTCATAAGAAAAATTTTGTTACAATATGTAAAACAAATATCAAAATCAAAAAAAAACAAAAAAAAAATTGAATATTAATTTTACAGATTTCATTAGATGGCTCTCATAGGGATACAAAACTTGGGGCAACAATCGGTATTGGTTGCCATGTTACAGCAATCCATAATAATGTCGGTAACGGTGGATGCTTTGATGCTTCATCAGAATTATTGGTCGATGGTGATGATGGTGATGGTAATTTTAGTGAAGCTGAAAATATGGGTAAGCACTTGATGATTGCTGATAGAAAAAAGGTCATTAAAAGACCCATAGGAAAAAATTCAACTGATAGATTATCAGAAAGTTCAGATTCTGATAGTGCTAAAATACCATTAAAGATGTCATCGAATACTCCGCTGAGAGATCGGTAAGTTTAATATTTTATTATAAATTTTTTTTTTTTTGTAAATCATTAAAATTTAATAATTAAAAAATAAAAATTACAAAATAATTATTTTTATATCTACCTTTAATATTTCTTACGCGTATCTGTACCATTTTGGTGTCATCTAATTGTGGTATCACTGAATTGCGTTTTAATCCTTTTTTAAAAAGCTTGTAATCTGATATATATGTAGGTATACACCTACCTTTATGTAATATTATACATGCATTACGACTGTAATATATGTATACTTACAATGTAATACTTTAAAACCATAAATTTCCATAAAAATTTCTAAAAAATTTCTGAACTTGATTCAATTATAAAATATTTTTAAAGGAAACTATTTTAAATAAAAAAAAAAAACTTATTTATTTTTTTTGTTTTAAATAAGTAGTAAAAAAATCAATTGCTTATTTTTATTACGCGACTTTTGTGACATAAATTACATTTTGTTTTACATACACACACATATCATATGTGATATTTTTATTTGTTCTATTTTTAAGTTAAAAAATTCATATACATACCTATATTCCCACTTTACCACCACAGCTTGTTTGTTGCAAATTACCTTTTTTGCAACACAAAGGTAAAAGCAGTTATTCTTAAATAAAAAAAAATCCAGTTACATATATTTAAATAAATACGTTTATTTTGTATATTTTTTACAAAAGATCCTCGTCTAAAATTCTGTATCGAAGTATAACACAACCATACCTATAATTTCTCCGAAAACAAAGTTTTTCTAATTGATTCCAACTTGTTTCTGAACCAAATAACAACTTGAATATCTGAAATTATTGTTTTAAGTAGTTTCTGGAAATTTTCCATTGCATTCAGTTGTATCGTGATTGAATGAATTTTGAGGACAACTGTTTCCTTAAATTTTGCTTTTCTTCTCTATATTTTATACATATTTATGAACATACTTACATACACACATTTATTTTACATAATTCCTTACACATACCTTATATTTTTATTCCTTTCTTACTTTTCTTTATTGTTTTTTTTTCCACATAACACAATTTATTTGTATGTTATTTTTACAATAAAAATTAAAAAGAAGAAAAATATACAAAAAAAATTCATTCATTCCTTCATTCCTTTAATTTTTTGTTTTTATTGTAATTTTTGTTTTTTTCGCCGGTAAATTGAAATTGTGTTGCACGTAACTGATATTTTCTTCTTCTTGTTTTAATACGCTGTTAGTAAAATATCATCTGAATTTGCCGGCTGTTGTTTCTCATTTCTTTTATTATTACATATATTAATTTAGAATATAAATGGATGAAGTGTATGTAAAATATATGTATGTATGTATATATTTGTACTGGTGTTTTGAATGAATGATTGTTGCAAAATATGGTTAAAGCAAAACTGAATCTAATTTTTTTTTAATATCGTGCCAACATATACGTGTGAATCATAGATATATTCATAAGCATACATAAGTAGGTAGAGGTAAGTCCATCTATAGAATTCTAAAATTTATTCTTTCTAAACTGGTTTTGTTTTTATTTTCTCCTCAATTTAATTGACCTTGTCCTTGTCCTTTTATCACGTTCCAATTGTATGTTGAGGAAAATTATTAAAAATAATAATAATAATAATAATAATCTCCCCTTTAAACAATAATAATTCTAAAGAAGTACAGTCAAATTCTTCTTTAAACATTGTTGAATAAAAAAAATCACACATGGTAGGTAGTAAAAAAAAAACTAAAAGAATAAAGTTTATGTATAAAAAGTAAGTTGTTAGTAGTAGGTATGTATGTATGTACATATTTGTTGTATTAAAGTAACTGCATTTATATACAATAAATATACATATCTAATTCTTATATATATGTATGTACATACGTTGTTATATAAAGGTTTATATAAAAAAGGAAAATATATGAAAAAGATGGAAGATAAACTGAAAAATGGAAGTTGATTTTTCCTTTCTCTTCTCTTCTTTTCTTTTTGTTTTTTTGCCTTCTTCTGGTTTTCAATCATATGGTGAGGAAAATTTCTAGAAAATTCGTTTAGAAAGCGTCGATTTTTTTTTTTGGATTGAATATACAAAAAAAAAAAACAACTTCAATATTCTAGAGATTTTAACCAAACCGAAAAAAAAATTTCGTTTTTTATTGTTTAAATTCGTGAAATTTCTTTTACACACACAAAACAAATTTTTAATTTTGCTTTATTTTTTATTATGACAAAATTATAAAAATAAATTTGAAAAAAATTGTAATAATTAAGAAATAAAATTTGTTATAAAATTATATTTTTATCATTGAATTTCCAATTTTCGATTAACAAACATCTTTTGCAAATACATTAATAAATACCAATTAAAAAATTTTAAAATACAAACATACATATGTACATATGTATATCGTAATTATGATCACGTTAGTTTGATTAACATTAACTGAGATAAATTGAAAATATATTTGACAAATTACAAATTTTTGTCATCTTCATTATTATATGAAAAAATATGATAATTATGAGAAAATTTGACAATTACTCAATATACCGACATATGTACATATGTACATACTTACGGTATTAACATATAGTATTGACAAAACATTAAATTTCTCTCCCGGTTTTAATACAACATATAGAATCAATTGACAGTTTTCAAAGACTATTGAATATTGACTAAAATTTGTCAAAAATAGTGTTATAGAATTTTTGAAAAATACCAACAGAATATTGTTAACTAAATATTAAATCATAAAAATAAATATTCTTAATGTAATAAGTGTGAAATCGAAGACATATTTTCATTAAATACAAAGACTGTACCCAAAATATTTTCCAAAAAATAATGAGGTACACACATAAAACTCTGAATAATTTTATAATTACCTAATTCGTTGTTAAAATTTTCATTACAAAAAAAAAAAATTGTGAATGGTTACTAATTTTTACCTTTCACTTAAACGCTTGAATACTTATTTAAAAGGAAGAGAAAAAAAAAAACACTCTTCAATCATGTTTTCATCACATGGAATTTAATTGAAACCAACCAAAAAAAAAAAAATTTACTTAGTTCTTAAAACAAAAAAAAAAAATTATGTTTTTTTTTCTATTTTATGATTTTTTGTTTATAGGTATATTACCGTGTAAAAATAGTATATGAGATGAAGGGAATGTTATTTTGAAACATGACACTATTATAACAACACTAATACAATTTTTTAATAAATAAATGGCTTACAAAAGAGCACATTTCCTTTTGATCATTATCAAAATTTGCACATACATTAAGTTCTTGAGATACGACATTTTTGGTTCCAGAAATTTATGTCGTAACTCGAATTGTCGTTTGAGGAGGGAAAAAAATGTATAGAAACAAAAAGTGAATTAGACAAACTATGTTATAAAATAATTAACCTTTCATTTTTAAAAAAGGTGACAAAGTTTAAAAAAACAAAACCAAAAAAATTCAATGTTGTAACAAAAATAAATAAAATAAAATCTGATTAAGTTGATATTTTATCATTTCAATTCGTATTCTTAACTACTGACTAGAATTTTTAACTAGAAAGAGTTCATTATTGAAGTATGTGCTTTAGTCTCGTCTTATAACTAAATTCGGTATAGATTTTTATTCACAAAACAGTAAAATCTGTCAAAAAAAAAACAATTTTTTTTTTTTAATTTTCAAAAAAATTAATAAAAATTATCCAGATTTATATCATGTCGTAACTCGAAATGTCGTATTAGAAGATGTCGTATCTCGAGGACTTAGTGTATAAAAATTTAAAGTCAAAATTATTAAATTGATGAATTTTTTTCATTTTCATGCTTATTTCTTACAAAATTATTAAATTTTTGGTGATTCTATTTTTTTCGGTAACATTTACAAATTAAATGTAATTAAAAAAATTACAATATATTCACATTAACTGTTTTTTTAGAAATATGTAGATATTTTGTGGTGAAACGAAATGCATTGCTTTTACCATGAATAAAAATCATTTACCACGATTATTATGGCATAATCATGTATCTCTTGTATATTCGTGTATCTCGCGCATATTCGCGTCTCTCGTACATATTCGTGTAAGTTCGTACAATTCGCAATTATTTGTTTATTCTTATTACTAATTTATATTCATATTCATTTTATTGGTTAACTATTCGTATTGTTAATATTTCTACAGAAAAATTGTAATTTCTGTAGGACGGACACAATAATTCTAGTAATTTAATTTTTTTTTTTGGTTTAAAAAATTTAATTAATAAAAATATTTATGCTTCTTATATTTCATAGATCTTATTTTTCATTCATGAAAAACCAAAACCAAAAACAAAAAAAAATATTTTTTTTTTTTAGATTTTCATTCATTGAAGAATAAAGAATGTTTTAAATTTTTTTTATTTTTATAAGAAATATTTTCCCACACAAAATTATTATTCATCAGATTATTGATCAGCACTTTTATATCCATAAAAAAAATACTCATATACATACATAGTATATATGAGATATGTATTTTTATTATTAATATACAAATCAAAACAATATGAAATATTACATAGGTATAAAGAACCATAATTCTCATATTCTAAAATAATATTCTAATTATATGTATGCGTATGTATGTGTAAGTGTAATTTTATAAGTTCATTACTGAAAATAGAAAAAAAAAATATAAGATTTTTGTTTATTATTTTAATTTCAATAGTAAACGTTCTACATACAATTTGCGTTGTAATAAACACTAAAAGAGCATTTTATCAACCTTAAACTATTATTAATATTGTATTCAGATTCTTTTGAAATTATGTGTGCCAAAAGTATACAAAAGTACCTAATGGCTGAAGCTTATATTATGAAAAACTTTGCTTTCAAAAGTTTATTAAATGTTTTATTTTTTTAATTTTTGTTTTCTCAACAGAAAAAAAAAATTATTTTTTTAACCACATTAAAAATTGTAAAAAATAAAAATAAAAACGAGAATAGAAAATGCG